CATTGTTATTAAGCATGATACAATGCATTATAAAACCATAATTACACATTGTCATTATGATATTTAAAATCATTGTAATATTATATCAATTACATTGTTAAAGCATTATATAAAATATTGATAACCCATTATAAAATTATTGTTAAAGCATTATTATGTCACATTATTATATTATATTTATTAAATTGCTATATAATAAAACTCATTTTTAAAATATCGATTATTTGATAAATCATGTGAAGTTGTAATACATGTAAAATAACAGCAATGCACGAAATGTACCTTTAGAAGACTTTCTATAAGAGATATCAGATAGATTCTATGCTATTGAAAATTTTCAGTTGTCTGTATTTCATAAATTAGACATTAAAGAATTGAATCATTTGCCAAACTTTCTTGTAAATAATTGATCCAAATAAATGCATATATTGATCCATCATTATACTTATATGTAAATATCGCCTTTAATATAGCATATGAGATACCATTTTCCTCTTGAATCTGTATTACATCATTTGAATGTAAATCCAAATGTGAATCAAATCTATAATTATCATCTAAGATATTATATTTTATTTGTTTATAGAATTTCACATATCTATATATCAACGCAGCTCTTTTTTGTATATAGATATCATATACACACATAAGATCATAAGTGAATTGAAAGTTATTATTAAGTTGTATAGGTAAAGCAAGTTGCTGTATTTCACTTTTCAAGACCCTTTTCCGTGTTTTAATATTTTTTACTCTATTATCATGTAATAAAATATTTGTGTCTAATATAAAGTAATATTAATAGTAATATTAATGAAAATATTTACAAAAAGATTAATTGATACTATTAAGCTTACCAATATCAGCTGTATCATCATTTTGAAGGTCTTGAATCATATACTAATTAGATAATATAGGATAAAGCAATAGATCTATAGTAAAATTATGAAAACCTTGACCAATGTTTGAAAATAATCATCTTTATCACCATCAATGAGATAATGTATAGTTTGAAGTGTGTTATGACTAGAGTTCTGAATGAGTCAAGTTGAGTTGAGTTTAAAGATCACTCTATTTGACTCTTTTTTTTAAGTCAAGTCAAGTCAAATTTATTTTATATAATCTTTCAATTTGATTTGATTTGAGTTATATAAATTTTAAACTTGATTCAATTTAACTTAACTCAATTTTAATTTGATTTGATTTTGAAAAAAAATAATAAAAAAAATGAAAAGATTAGGGGGGAAGAGAGAGGAAAAGAGCAAACAATTCATTATCATTCTTCTTGAACGATTTTTTTTATCATTCAAGTCGAATGATTCAGGTCATCATTCTTTTTGAATGATTTTTTTTATTGTTTAAGTCGAACAATTCAGGTCATCATTTAAGTCGAATAATTTGGATCATCGTTCAAGTTGAACGATTCGTCATCATTCTTCTTGAATGATAAAAAAATCATTTAAGTCAAATGATTCGTTATCATTCTTCTTGAACGATAAAAAAATCATTCTTCTTGAATGATAAAAAAAATTGTTCAAGTCAAATGATTTGTTATTGTTCAAGTCAACTTGAGTCAACTTGAATCAAGTTGAGTTTAAATCGAGTCAAGTTAAATATTTAACAACTTGAATTTAGCTTGACTCGCAAATTATTGAGTCAAAAAAACATAAACTCAACTTGATTTAAACTTGACTCAGCTTATCTGACTCGTGAGTTAACTTAACTTGTTTGAAACTCTAGTTATGATGATAAATGAGATCAAATTCAATGTTCTTACAGTTCATTTTTGAAACAGAAGCTTTAAATGTTTGGTATACTATTTCCTTTACTCCCACAGAAATATTCACAAATGTTCTGAAGTTGCGTGCATTTTAAACGTGATGTTGATTTATATATAGATTCAGTAAGTTTTTGAAATAGTCTGGAAAGACCTAAAAAAATATATTAATATTATTCTTAAATGAAATTATATTATTCTTGTAATTTTTTATAGAAATTGAAATATACAATAGATAAGATAGCTAATAATTAAATATATATTTTTAATTGAATTTTTTCCTATTATAGATACCAGTATTTCCATTAAGACTACGTTTATCTCTGACTCTTTTATAAATGATGATATATCGAAATAAGTTTCAGATAAAACTTCAAAACTCTTAGCCTATAAATAATTGCCCAAACATGCTGTATCCTTTTTTTCATATTTTTATAATTATGTAAAATGATTAAATAAATAAATATTATACTTTTAATAGAGTAATACTTTTGATTCTTAGAGCCTCTTCCAATTCTTTATATGTTTTCTCAGTAAAAGTAAAGCTAATACTTAAATAGGATGCCTTTGCAACAATTACCCAATAGGAAATAATCGTGTTCACAATTTGTACAGGTGATGGACTCTTTGAACGTGATTTTGTTAAGATTGTAAGTTGTCTCTAAAGTAAAGCTATCTCAGATTCTTTAATATGTGATATTGTTAATGATCATTGTAACAAAAACGGCATTATCATTTCCAATCGTAAACAATCAGAAAATATAAAGTTATTACAATGCTTGATCAGATAAGGAAGGCGATACCAACCAGATGGAGTCTTAAAATTTTTCTAATAATCTAAAAATATAGATTCCTCACTTGAGTTTAAAATCGAAAAAGTACATTTCATTAATTTTTGTACTTTTCTAACAATGTTATAGTATGTGTCCTGTGGAGTCTGTAAGTGTCGATTGCATGTTAGCTGATTCAAAATACTAGGATGCATTCTTAAACTATGCTTAGTACAATAGGTATTGATTGTTCTTTATGATACTTCTTCTTGAACTAAGTCGTTTAACCTATATATTCTCTTATTTGTGAGATGGTTATATCTTGCATTTAATTTGACATCAAAAGTAAGATCATTTAATTGATCCTTAGGTACCAAACAACTTCTACATCCTTAGTTTCTACTATAACGTTTCGTATTTGCAAGATCATTACCTTAAGGTAAATTGGTAGTTATGACACCTAATACTGCAATTATTCATATATCTTGTCCATCAATGTTCATCATTATACTTTTTTCTAAATTTTTGATTTTATTTATGATTGGTTCTATTACATCATCAAAAACTCTACCAAATAGAATGAAACTTAAAATGAAATGGTTCTTGAGTTGCTTTCGTAGTTGTAGAGGCATATTACAGAATTGCAGATAAATTCCGTTCAAAGAATGATATACATTACGAAAAATACTAAAGTCATCATAATATATATCTAACATCAATTTTAAGGTAGGTATATCTTGAGAAGTCAATGCGGGTATTTGGATGTATTCACTTAGATGATGATGTTATAACTTGATATCTCTTATCTTCCACTGACCTTCATAATGATACAGGATTTCGCTAATGTAAAATTAATAATTATTAATTGAATTCAGAGTATCTTGAATCTAAACTGTAACTATTTCAATAACATTATCTAAATCAGTCAATGATGAGATTTTGCTTAACCATAATTCCCCATTCTGAGCTTGTTCTACCCTTATTGAACTTGCAAAAATCCTTGGTAATTTGAAGCTGTAATAAAGGAGTTGGATCTTTAATTTAATATCATCAAAAGTTGATACTATCGACAGAATTCTTTCAATTCTTAAACCTTTGTCCTTATATTTAATAAAAGATCCTGTTGTGTATAATACTAAATATAATTTATTAGTTATATCTTTTGAATTGACATTTTTTTAGATTGTAAATGTTACCTTGATTTATCTGAATTAAAGATTGATTGAAAAGAGGTGATTTTTGCTATATGTTGCTATGCCAAAACTCTGATTTTGATTTGACTTTGATGCTAAGACCAAAATATATTTTTTGTCATAAAATTTTGTTATTTAAGACTCTTTTTATATGTTCAATTACTGATATAATATAAGCATCCTTGAATAATACTGATGTTGAAGGGGTTTTCATATTTTAAATAAAAATTCTGTAACCTTTTATCATTTGAAGTAGAAGTCAGGTATGTAATAACTTTAACCATCAGATATTTTTAATGACATGTTCAGGTCAGAAGTCAGAATATTGTAGGATACATATAAGATCCTCGTATGCTTTAGTAGTTAACAAATAAAATTAATTCTATAATAATCGCAAATGATTATACAGCTTAACTACATTTACTTACTAATCATATGTTTTATAATCCACGTAAAAAGTAGCATTTCTGTGAAATTTTTAAAATAAGAACCATAATCTCCAGTTATTGGTTGGAAATTAGTTTTACTGTCTATTATATTTTACGTATAATCCGTTACCCTTCTTGCCTATCATTTAACTTCTTTGATTATAATTGACTCGTTATTATTGCTTACTGAGGTTACAGAATCAGACTCAGGATTATAAATTTTCATTTGAAGTTTTATAATTTGTCTGTTTATATGGTAAATCTTCTTGCAATTTCTCATTATCATCGTTTACATTATATAATAAAGTTAGTTTATTGATGTCTTGTGAGCCTTTTCTTCTTTATACATTACCTATATCACCAGAGATTTTTGATGTAATGCATTTGCATGATACAATTCTATTATTTGTTTTTTTTTGTTCTTATTTATTTCATTGAGATACTAAAAACAATTATAACTTTTCAACTTTTCAACTTTCTGATAATATTATTAAAAAAAAATTAAAGTTAATAATGTTAAGAAAAAAAAAAATATTGAAGTTTGATGTTATCAAGAAAAAAAAAATATTGAAGTTTGATGTTATCAAGAAAAAAAAATAAGAATTGAAATGTTATCAAAAAAAAATGTTTAAATTATTTTATATCGAATCTTACTAAATTTAGGTTAAAAATGATTTTTTTTTTTGATTTATTCTAATTTAATCAATTTAATATAATAAAATAATGTAGATCTTCATCAAATATATTTAACTCGCTATATCGAATATTATTTATTTATTTATTTACTTCATTTTACATAATATAATACTCAATTTTATTATATTTATTGATAGCGTTAGTTTAAATTAAGCAGTGTTCTAATATCCAATTTTTGCAAGACATCTCTCCTATCGGCTGCAAATATCTTCATATCAACTGTTATATTATTTAAATCCTTGACAGCATCAATCACCTCTTTATTCAAAAGATTTTCTTGAACAAAAAGATTAAATGCTGATCACACAAACTTTGTAAAAGTAACGACATTTTCAAGTTAATCCTTGAACATTTTTTGTTCATCTATTGCATCCATATGATATTTTAAGAAAGTCATCCAATTGCTTTCTGTGATATATTCACTAACTTGTTGTACCGTTGGCTGCTTTACCTTAGTTAATCTATATTGATTTGATTGATTTGATTGGTCTTCTTACTATTATTGAATTAGCAATTGACAGCAATACAATTATAAACTTTTACCTGTACTTTTTAATAAAATCAGAAATCAACTTTTTAAGTTTACGCCTCAATATTACGTTATAATTATGATAACTTTCAAAAGTCCATGTCTGCAATGCTACTCGATCTGATGCTCTAATATATTAAATATTTGGAAATAAAGTTCTTACCAATGCATCTATGATCTGCTTATTTATAACTCTTATACGATAAAACAGACATTTTAAATATAACTAGAGTGTTTCAAGTTCCTATTTAAATAAAATAATATATAATAATTACAATATATAATTACAATAATTTACAATAAATCACAATAATTTATGTTTTAACTTACTCTTTCTGAAAATACGCTAAACTTGTCAGATTTTTTTGAATAATTACAGATTCATTACCACTTGCTTTTATCATACTTAAGGTTAGATTAATAAGATCTGGCTATTGTACTAAATACATACAAATTTCAAGGTCATTTTTGAATGGATCAATTAAAGAAGATGAACTAGTGTTAGTTAAATTTGGTATTGATGATGGTTGTTGATCATCAATATTTTCAGGAGATGATGTTGATGATTGTTGATCGTCAATATTTTCAAAAGATGATGTTGATAATTATTGATCATTATCATATTCTTCAAGCAGATATGTTAATTTCAAGTTTTAGTTAAGTTTAAAGATATTTCTGATACTTGTTTGTAAGAAAATGACATTATATATTTTTAATAAAAAATAGACAAGTTTTTAAAAGAAGAAGAAAAAATAAGACATTTGTTTGATATTAAATTAATTAATTTATGTTGATTTTTTTTTGTATATTAATTTTCATTAACCTTCAAACATTTTCTATAGGGTTTTGGTCTGAAGACATTGATGGCCAAGAAAGTACCTCAATGCCATTTTCTTCCTTTTATTTTTTCGTGATTTTTGATCAATGCTTTAGATTATTATCTTCTTGCAAGATCCAATCTATGTTACCTTCACCAAAAAGTTTAGAGGTGGAAGCCAGAAGACCCTTCTCAT